TTTCCTAGCTCCACTATCGCGGGAAGGACAAGACTCTTGCTGCTTGCTTGCTAAGTGTTCCAGTACATACAGTAGCAAGCGGAATGGCTGGCCCTTCACTTTAACATACTCTCTGAGCGACAAGCTGACACCAGAAACATCATGGAACATATCATGTGTGAACCTGGCATCTGCACAATGGTAGTTTAAGCCAGCTAGCTCGCACAACCCACACCCATAAATAGGTGATTTTTTGGTAGCCCAAATCGATCGCTCGTGGCGGCTGAGAGAAGTGTTGCAGTTGTTGTGCTCACTCTTGACGAACATCTGCAGTATTTCACTTATCACCATGCCACCATGTTAAATCCAACATGTTCATCCAAGTCCAGCTCTCCCCTGACTAAACGAATCTGGTCGGACACCGTTTCCACCTATTCGGGGACCACATAGGACCGCCCCAAGCCACGCTGCAGCCGCCTGCGTCTAACTCTTGAGGACCCCACTGCGCATGATGGTTCATCAAATCCTCTTACGCCGGGCCACGCGTTCCGAGGGCCACGGGAACCGGGGCTATGCCGGGGACCAAACGCGTTCCGGCCCCGCGTTCGGAACGGCCGGGCCCGGGTCCGGTGCCTCGATGCCCCTTTTGGGTACCCCGGTGGGACCAGCGGAGAGAGCGGCTGAGCAGTCGAAGTGGGTCAGGTGAAATGGAAAAACCTTCTTAGCCGAGCATGTGGCTATGGCACGATGACACGAAAGTCACCAGTCAGCTGCAAAGAGAACACATGAGAATGCCATCGCCACTGGGAGATCGAGGGGCTATGAGCAGAACTGTAAGTTTCTGGACAGCGGCAATGAATTCTGGATACTGTAAGAAGCGTTCTAAATAGAGATTCCGAGGGGTTCAACATCTGTCTGTGGCCGATGGGAAGTTCGAGCCTCCGACAGAATGTCCCCAGCTCGCCAACACACGAACAAGTCCTCAGAACCCATCGAGACCCATCGACGTGGCGTCGTTCTTTCGCTCGACGTAACTTTTGTGGCAAACACACGGCGGCTCGCTTGGCGAGAAGCGCGGAGTCTCCTGCATGTGCAGTCGGGCAGCGACTCCATCCAACTTGGTGACGACGCCGTCACCGCGGTGGCCTTCCTGCCGCGAGCAAGGAAGAGTGCCCACCCTGGGCTGCGAAGCGAATTCCTGTGATGAAGGACGTCTTTCACAGGTTTGACATGGCTTGACCATGCTTGACCCATTTTCAAACACAATACTTTTATTGTCAGCAAATTCACACGACACAACCACATCATTGTTGTCACACCATCATCGATTTCAACACTTGGTCACGGTGATCAATCTCGTGACTTGCGCCCCCCCTCCCTCTCTCTCTCTCTCACTCTCTCTCTCTCGGCCTGCTTGCCTGGCTGGCTGTCTGTCTGTCTGTCTGGCTGTCTGCCTCCCTCCCTCCCTCCCTCCCTTCCTCCCTCAATCGCGTGACGCGGCGTCGAGCGCAGACGCTCTAAGCGCCCCACGACATCCGCCAGGGGATCTCCCATGGACTCCTTAGCGGCGACCTCACACTCCAATTGGCCAAAAGAGTGGTCAAAAAATGCTTCCCATGGAGAGATAGTTCAGGCAAAAAAACCAGCTGCTATCGGGACCACTGGACTCCGAGCTGCACATCAGGGGAAACCACCTTGATCAAGTCCGAGCAACTACGCAACTACCTTGACGAAAAGAAGGACGGCCCTGCCGAGATCCTCGGCGACCTTGCGAACCTCGTGGACTTGCATGTGTCAGACGGGTCTTTCCCATTCCACACCTCTCTCCACCTCTCTCCTCACCCCGACACTCGGCCTGTGGCATCTTCGAGGAGGCCATCGAGTCCATGGAGTCCAAATTGCCTCACGTGACGTCGGGGAACCCGACCGGGACCGGAAGCCGAGCGTCACCGTCACTGGAGTCGACGTGAGAAACGGATGTGTTACGTGTTGGGATTCCAACGAGCTGAATGTGATGACATGTTTCTTTCTTTCTGGTGAGCTATGGCCAACCTACTGCAATAGCAATGGCCTCCAACCTAGGTTGCAAAATGGTGCAACCAACATGTTGCGAAACAAAGCTGGGGCACAGGCCAGCTGAGAGTGGTTGGCGGTGGTCACCCAAATTGGGTGACTTTTGGGTGATCCCCGATGAATGAACCAGTGTCTTGGCTTGTGTCGTCGACCTGTTTGGAACCACAAATCAGGAGGCTTCCTCAGGGGCAAATCCCCTGATACATTGCCAGGAGCACCCGCTCTGGTTACTCTGGTTGTCCGGAGGTAGTGGGCTGGGTACAGTAGTCCATTGCTTCATCGGAGGGTCCAAGCAAAAAAAAGGCTTGCGTCTGATGATGTTTAGACTCGAATACATTGGACATCCATACATCTTGGCTCTGGAGAGGTACTCCTGTTCCACCTACTTTCGCATGCTCGAACAACAACATGCTGTTACACATCGAACAACTTTTGTTAATGCTGATGCATGACACGATAGAAACAACCTCTCTTCTTCGAACCAAACGGATTCTTTCTGCTTGTTTAAATGTCTTCCAACGATATAACAAAAATTTGATGGGTGGATGATTCAATGATTGTCATCTGGGAGATGATTCTCCAAACTGATCCTCATGAGACGTTTCACGTCCACCGCGACACTTCCGAGAGCCCACACTGACAGAACTCCGTGCCTGTCAGGCGTGCCGTTTTGGGTCGTGAAGAGTGATCATTAGGAGCCATGTTGGACCGTACAAGTGTTATTATGCTTGCTTGTTTGCTTGCTTCATTTGTTTGTTTGGGCTTTCTTGGTATTTGTTGCTCCAAATCTTCGTCCATCTGGGTGCGCGAAGTGAAGGGATTCATTCATTGCTGGTGGCTCCAAGTAGCTAGCGCAGCTGGTGCTGGGCTCCATACATCTGAGCTCTTTGCATGACCAGCCACCCCCCCTCATCAGGCTTAGTTTCATTATAATAATGTCATCAAAAAATGCTCATGTTGATAGTATGTAGGCCATATACAACCAGTTTGGCGGAATGCCAATATGAGCTACGCTTGAAGCAAGGCACCGTGCGTCTGTGTCACCGGAGATAGACACTTCACCCCAATGAAAACCGCTCGAATAGTGTGGAAGTTCATGTTCTCTTCGCCACGCGTGGAGGCATCTCTTCCACCAGCTTCTCCCACTCCAACGCTCTGGTCCGATGCTACCTCTGTCTTGCTTGTGGCCAGGCTCCTCTCCGAGAGGGCCTCACCCCGAATTCCGCGGTACGGACGCGGTGGGGGAAAGCACCTGGAAAACCACGAGGGCACTTGAAAGAGTAAGGTGAAAGACATTGAACCAAAAGATCAGTGTACTGGTGTGAAGGAGTTCTTTCAAAGCTTTAGAGGACATAACCACACATATTTTGCTGGAGGTCCGCAATTGTCATTTTACATCCAATCTGGAGAGCTCTGCCCAAGTTGGTTTGTCTGATCATTTCTTGGGGCAGGTTCCAAAATGAGGGTGTCAAAAAAACCCTCGATATTCGGATCCAAATCATTCCAAATCAATCGAAATCCATATATTGTATCAAATTGTGGTGTTATTGTTCTTCTTCCTTGTCGTTTGACAGTGCTT